TTATTAAATTTGTCTTGCTTCCGCAGGAGCTCTTTATTGTTGCCCCTTCTGGCTGTATGTGGGATTTCCAAGCTGCCTTATTTTAACGCACATTCAGATACCGCTGTGCGACTACGTCGTTTTCCCTTATCTACGCGAATTATGTAAATCGCCATTCGGGGCTTTCCAGGTTTTTCTCAGGCACATGCGCTTATGCGTTATTGGGCCTAAAGCGAAACACCTGGGAGTTTAAATTCGTTTTAGTGTCACTTTAATAGCAGAATTATCTTGCAATTTTCGGAATTTTACAGTAACTTAGCAACTAGATTAGATACGATAGATTAGATATTGGCTATCTCCTCCTTTAATTCATTATATTTTTCGAGGCAATTAAAGCTCTATGGTCATTTTTCTATTATAATAAAATATTTTTTCTAGAAAAGTTTTGTTGAAGATTTTCCATCGTCTTATTTATTTAAATTCATTGATTTTGTTAAAGAAATATTGCGCTAAAATTTTGTTACGAATTTATTAAATCTTTCAATTTTGAAGATATTCGAACAATAATAATTTTCGATTTTAAAATTTCTTAAAATGCGACTATTTGCAGATGTCTTTGTATTCCATATTTGTATAGAATTTACAGCGCGCAACAACGATTCCGAGAAGTTCTTCTTTAAACTGCATAGCTCACTAAAGTGTTTAACGATCGAGGCATTAAGGCCAAACGTGACTACGTATTGTAGTCACCAAGTCGATATTTTAATCTCCGCGACCCAACTATCACCGTGACACCGCCAGATCGTATCCGCGTCTAGAATAAAAGACGCGGGAGGGGGGAGGGTGGACTGGGGTGAACCAAGAGGAAGAAGCACGGGAAACGTGTAAAGGGTGGAAAACAAGCGGCCGAAATGGAAGAGCGACTCGATGGAAGCTCTAAAAAGGGGATGGTAAAGAGGGAGGGAGACTCAGCCGCAACCTGCCGAAGGGTATCGCGGATAGATAGCAGCAAGATTTATGGCGTGAAGAGAGAAAAGGGAAGTTCCCGCGTGCGAGAGGCGAGATTACATTGCAAATAATACCGAACTCTCGAGATCTCGTAAAATCTAATATCCAAACAGCGTTGTCTGTGAAATTTATCTTATACGTGTCCACATCTCCACGAAAAATCCTTTTATCCGCGGAGTACAAGCGGCTGTGTAGCCATCCGTGCAGAGATTTAACCATTTCGAGGGGGTGAGCCTCCGAAATTTTGAAATAAAAAAAAAACAAACGGTTCCGGCAACAAAGGGGATCGAGTGCAAGAGAAAAGCCGGGAAGAACGTATGCGTAACGGCTCAAAAATCCACAACAGCGATTCCCTTGGGCAGCAAAAAGGGCCAAACAATGTACTAACAGCGAATACAACGCCGTGTGGCTCGGCAAGGTAAAAGAAGCGAGAAAAAGCGAATAGAGAGCCGCGAACGCAATGCAAACGTGCAAAAACAAATAATGGCAATCGAATGTATCCGTTGCAGGCAATATATCGAACTAAAAGGTGCAAGAGAGCCGTTGAAGATTCGCCGTTTCCATGCGTTTGACCATCGTCAAATCGCGGACAACGTCGGCGAAAAAACGCGTTGCAACTGACGCATAAGCGTTCTTTTTTTTTTTTTTTTTTTTTAATACTACGTTCTACGTAACACATCTATACATACATCTTTCTGGGATTTTCACACAATCGTGATACGAATGCGAGCATTCGACGCCGTTCGTCGTTTTAGAAGCCATAATTCAAGCTTTAAAATATCGTGAATCATAGTGGGACCGTAATGCTGGCGTTTTTCAGCGAAAGCTTCGAAACTTGACGCAGATAACTTTTCGAACGGGCGCAAAAAAAAACGAAGGGGCAGGGAAAAGAAAACGGAAAATAAAACGTATCTCGAGAGAATCACGCGCCGACGGAGGATGCTACGCGGGCAGCACTTTTATGAGTTGAACTTTACTTCCGGGAGGGAGGGAGGGGGGAAGGAAAAAAGGGATTCCTTAGTTTACATTAGCATGCTAATGAAAGGGTAATCGCGTAACGTTCTTCTTCGGCCCTTATCGGACAGCCGACGTAACACGAGGGGATGATTTATTCTCATGTAATCCTCCGGTGTGTACATCCCTAAGACAGACCGACGTGAAAAAACTACGCTAGGTACACCCCCTAATATCGAGATGCGCGTTTTCGGGACTATAAATTCGCACGAATGTCCCGTCCAAATGTGTGCGATATCTCTGTAGCCGCGTAGATGCGCTATTTGATAAGCAAAATCTCAACGCTCATTATTTTCTTAGCCGCGGGCGCGCATCGATCTGCGTCAAATGAGAAACTGTTTTTTTTTTTCAATAAGCAAATAGCGACCGAGGAAATGTTTGCGTTAGAAATTAATAGAACCATTCGTACCTTCGATAAATGGTAGTGCCTAATAATTATAACTTTAATTAAATTATTCTCCAATTATAATTGTAATTAATTATTTGCGATTGAATCGACAACAGTTCATTTCCGTAGACACACAGTTCCGCCGCAGTTGCGGCACATAAATAGACCTCGATATCGTTCGATCGAAACGATCGCCCTGCTAAATAATTTACTAATTACCGTAACGATCGTCCGATTGTAATTTCCCATGACCGGCGCCGTCGCATTAGGTAAACGCGATCGAGACCGCGACAAGAATGGCGACGAGACTTAGGCCGTCACTTAGGGCGATTCTACCTCGGCGACAGCATTTTTTCCAATCCTTCTATTTCCCATTTCCTCGAGGTGAGGCGAGGCGGCACTTTCCCCTTCTGACTTTCGTCGGAAACGGAGCCACTCCACGTTGATTTCCACCGAGAAAAAGTGACAGATATCTGCCGATCTATCGTGTTTCCACGCTGCAAAAATATGCCTTGGCACTTAGCTCATTTTATCGTGATACAAGCGATAAAAAAATATGTCTTGCGTACAGATAACGTGTAAAATGATTTGTCGATTGCTTCACTGATTTCTGTACGAGATATGTTACATCCAAGCAAAAAATGTTTGAGCGAAAAATAACAGGAATCCATTTTATGTATTTAATACTTTTGTGTACATATTTTTGTCGAATCTTACATATTTTATATTTGTATGAAACATATAAAAATGAAACCGATGATGGTAAAAAATAGAGAGAGCGATTACTTTTGGAAAAATAAACTGAAATTATATAATAACATCGCTGGAAACGAGCTTTCCTGCGAAAATCTCATTTGAAGAAAGAATCGAGATTTTATTATTAGATACTTTATTATATCTTAAACGTGTAAATAATAATCTTTAACAATCTTTATTATTAAAAGTAAGAGATGTTTTTGAATTCTCAAATATAATTTGTAAAGTTTTACATGAGAAATTTTATTTCTAAAATTAATTTCTTTTTCTATTCTTATTTTTGTTACGATTTATTCTATATAAATTTCAATATCAAGGATATGAAGAGAATAAGATGTTATATACGGGCATGTAATTTGCGAAATACACGCGTTGCGTGTCTTCACGAATCGGTCCCCGCAAATTGTTGGAAAAGCAGTAGTTTGGCGCTTAGCGTAAGCCTCTTTGATTCGGAATTCGGATTCACAGACAAAAGACACGTTGCTCAATAGACATCGGACGAAGGATATTGCAAACGGAGTTTGGCAATGCATTCTAAGCTACTTGCAATAACTTCTCGTTAGTGTGCCCGAAGCCGAACGAAATATGGCTGGCGATACCTTGCGTAGGCGAGTCAGTAGTTAAATATTATCTCCAAACGCAACAATATTATCTCCAAACAATAGCCGCGTTTAAAAGACGTCTCGTTTAGAACAACTTTAACATTTTATTATAAAACGTTTCGAAAAAGTTTTGAAGACTTTCTAAAAGAGACACTGAAAAGACATCTTAGAAAGTTATGTTTTTTACTATTTTTTTATTCTATATTTTATATTTATTATTATTATTATTATACTTACTTATTTTGGAACGTGCATAGCTATTTGTATTCGCGATATCTATCAATTAAAATTTTAATTATTTTTAACAATGATTATATAAAATTTCGAGCAAATAGATAAGAAAAATTATCGTTATCATAATATCGTAATGTATATATTTCATTTTAGCTGAAGACAATGTTTCGAAAATGTTTCTACCTTCTACGTTAAATTCCAGCTGCTCCTTCGTAATTCTTTCTTGTAGATAAAACGAAAGTAAAGTAAAGATCTTCGTGTTCAATTCTTCTCTTGAAATTTGACATTTTCGAGGATGCTTTTCTCGTTGCCTCAATAAGAGTCTCATCGAACGGGATGTTGTTGCTAGTAGCAACATAAATGATAGTATTGGTGTTGGACGCAAACCTTTCTCAGAGAGCAATTCGTAGTGCAGTATCAATTCCAATTCTATTTCAGGAAAGATCTGGACGATTTGATTCGCGTCTGTTCGCTTCGATTTCGTACAAATTGTACCAGTCAAAATTGACCGCTGTCTGCAATAAATAATAGACTAGAGCTGTTCTCTCGCCAGCTCGTCTCTGTTTCCTCTCGGTTTCCTTCGCGGAAAAGTTGACGTCGTTCAAAATAATCCTACTAATGAGCGGAAACAAAAGTGAGGAAGGCAAAATGTCTTTTTAAACGGAAAAGGACGAGCACTGAAGAGGGAAAACTTTTCCGGAAAAAAAAAAAAAAAGGAAATAATATTTGCTGTATTTTTACCCCTCTGGAGTAGCTGCGTGATCGCGCGATGGAAATCTAGTGACGGGACGAGAGATGAAATAACAAACCGGCGTGGAAAAATGTCGATTTCTCTCAACGCGCTTCTGGCGATTATCCGTGTCAAACGTTTTAAAAGAGTCGTTGATAAATTTTCACGAGATGCCATTTTCGATATCTCTCATAAATAATTATATTTTGCGCGAATCGCAAAAACAGTCGCGACTGTTTGCGTAAATCGCGACACGTTAATTGGACCCGTTTATTTATTTGTATTGCAGGTGTTCGACAAACATAATCGTGGGTATATCACTGCATCGGACCTTAGGGCGGTGCTGCAATGTCTGGGAGAGGATCTATCCGAGGAGGAGAGTAAGTCTATATATTAATGCATTCAGTAATAGCCCATATAACCCATTGCGATGAACGTGACGCGATTACGCGCATCGCCGTCCTCTGTCTCTTTCTCGCCTCTCTCGCTCTCTTTCTCCCTCTTCCTGCCTGAAATATTTTCGATAAGAGAAACTTTGGCAATAAAAGCTAAAGTAGGCCATTTCCGCCTAAATTGGCATACCTAAGGTCGATTGATTTTTCGAAAAGCGTACTTTAGAGTTGGACATTATACGGATAAATTTCTATTTAACGCGGAAAGTTTTATTTTTAACCGCCTTTTCAAGCGATACATGTGAACAGAACTTTATTCCCGTTAATCACATTAATTGCATATTGTCGATCATAATTGCTCAAATAATCTAATAAAAGGTTCTCAATTTCAGCGGCGATTAAATGTCTTATTTTTAGGTAATATCCTATTCTGAAATAAATGAGCTTACAAACTAATTAAGTCGTTCTCTAGAGGATTAAAATTAATGGTGCATTTTGGCCCATTGCTTTGAAAATTAATCAAATTGCAGCTCAAATTAAATAAAATGATGCTCCATGCACCGCTTTTTGCACAAAGAAAAAATTTTAAGGATTTTTTTGAAATGAAAAAATGTAATCTCTCTCATCGCATTTATTTTTTGTTCTCCGGAATATTATTTGCACGTTTGGCCCTTTTGTTATTCTACGGATTCACGAGTCTTGAATTTCCTAATTCCACATTGGCGCCCATCATAAATCTATAGACCGTGTCTTTAATCTCATCTCACACAATTATTTCTCGTCACGAAATCGTCAGTTTGTCGCTTGTATTCGTGTGTTTGTGTAAATAAAGCAAGCTACAGACTCAACTGAATCATTCGTACCATTAAGACAAATCCGTCACAATTCTGATTGTTCTATTGTTGCCGTAGAATTTCGTGGACCATGTCAAATGTAATATTAGCCACCAGTGAAGGCTAATTAGCGACTGGCAAATTGATGATTTTCATAAGTAGCACGACGTAATAAACGAGACCAATCGCACATTTCACGTGTCTCTCGAGATAAATGATAAATGATCTATAGAGTTAATTAAAGTCGAATTTGCTTTAATTGAGGATTAATTTGCTTCAACATGGTCTGCGCTCTTGCGGATCGCATAGTTTCTCCATGCTGGCGATTGATGGTAATCATTAACGGAATCCGCAACCAGTTGCAAATCATGACGTGTGCCCTCTCAGACGGGCATTAATCACGATGCGACAATCGTGTGTTGGCCGAATGTCTCCTTGCAAATTTGCGATTCGCAATGTAGAGTATCACGCGTCTATCACGTCGCTTCCGCAAGTCTCGACGGCTCGATATTTTGCATTCGACATTTGAAGAATGACGTGTCAATCGGGCCTGATGCATACGGGCGCCTGCGAGCATGCCGATGTTAATGAACGAGAAAAAAATAGCCCGAGCAAAACGCGAAGTGCGCGTTTCTCTTCCCTCTAGTTCATCCTTCGGGTGATCTTAAGAGGATGCTGGATTTGTTTGTTTTACCAACTGAACATATATTTCATATCTCTCTAATTTCTTTGCTTTCCTCAATTTGAATAAAAAAAAATCCTTTTCCAGAATGAGAGAAAATAAATTCAAAATAAATATGGATACCTATAAAACGAAAAACAAAAAAAAATTTCCATATTACCTGTTACTACCTAAGCCACTTATTCACTCGATATAAATAATAGCAAATATGTATTCAAACGGAAACTATCCACCCATATTTATTCATTTATATAAGAATTTATATTTTAAGACTTCCAAAATATGACTTGGAAGTTTATAGGTATAGGAGAAATGAACAGAGAAGTACTATAGTGTTAGTACACTATCATTTATGCGAAATTTAAGAGTTTAGATTTGTATGCAGAAATATATGTATGTTTAAATTTGTGAACGCTCTCGTCTATGTTCACTCGTCAATTCGGCATCCTCTTAATTATCGCGGCGCGTTTGTATTTTTTGCGCGCGGAAGCGCGTTTAAGGAAACATTTAGAGAAATAATTGGCTCTTTGTGAAGAAGCACAGTTCGTGCGATGTATAATTACGCTCAATTAATTACGCTCCGATAAAAACGCACGGGAATAAGCAGGGTACACGGAAGATGTGATCAACCCGGCTATTAATTCGGATATGATTCGATCATTATCGTGATGAAAAAGTGCGGACGTTATCGGGGAAGTTGAAACGGGTTCTTACATCTCCGTCACAAGTGGACGTTAATTCGTTACTGGATACGTAGGGAGATGTAATTTCAACGCCGACAGGGATGTCGACGGAATGTGTACATCACAGCACGGTAGAAACTCGCTTATATCGATTGATTTGATAATCTCGCACGAGCGAAACACGGATCGAAACAAGTTTCTTGATTGGCCGCAATCAGTTTAAACTAAATCGCGCAATGTTCGACGGACAATCGTCTTACAATTGACGGAATTACAGTTCGTAAACTACACGGCGACTGTGTTGTTGTTGTTGTGCAACGTCGTGTATTTTTGTCGAACAAACACTAACTTATGCAGTATCCAAAATATATCCCTCCGACAGAATAATGCCTCTTTACAGAAAGTCAATTCTTTTTCTGAAATGATCATCTTACGTAATTATAATCTTTCGAATAATAATACGGAATCTACGAACGGAACGGCAGCACTAACGACAGCTTCTAACGAGAAATTAAATTCCCTTATTAACAAAAATTTTAATTTTGGAAGTTTCAAGAAGGCATTTGAAGGGAAGTCCTCGAATGCCAACGTGGTAACGGATCGTTATGCCGCCTTCATTCCTTTTCCTAGCAATAAATTCTATGTGGAAATAATGCGGGTATATCGGCAATATCTTACTCTCTCGGCATTGTTCTCGACACTCGTGATACGAATTAATCCTATCGCTCAACGCAGCAAAGATATATTAACTGAATTACTGCACAAGAATAGGCGCATTTTCTGTGCAAGAAGCCGTGATAGGAATATCCGTTTGAATTCCATCGGATTCGACACGCACGCCTTTTAATCTCGTCTAAGATATCTCGCGCTATTTTTCGTAAACGTCCAACCACGGTCGACGATAGGTAAAATGAACAGGCACGAGAACATGTAGTTTATTAAATATATCGGGATATAACTTTCTCTGAATTTATATATACGCTTTCTTCTACAACTGCGAATCAGTAAATTTGAAAGAAAACACTAATCTATCCTGTAAAACGCTCGTTTTTTTTTTGCTTTCAGTCGAGGATATGATTAAAGAAGTGGACGTGGACGGGGACGGTCGAATTGATTTCTACGGTAAGATTTCGTCTGTCGCAGTAGAATTTTGTAAAAACACAAGGATAAGCCAGCTGTGAAAAAGAGATTTTAATTTCTCTCCCTACACCATCCGTCCTGCGGTGATCGATGAAGTTATAACAGAAGGAAAATGCGATTCTTTACGAAGAGTAAAAATTGTTAGAGATTGCAGAAAAGTAAAGAGATACACCTACTCTTTTTTTTCTTCTCATAATATTATCTAAGAAAATTCTCTTTACTTAAGAAAAAGAAAGATATAAGCCATATAAGCTATAAGTATAATCTCGCCAGTATTTCCAATATTTAACATTTATTTAATTCCCTTCTTTGCAATCCTTTTTTTTTTTTTCAGAATTCGTTCATGCTCTCGGCGAGCCGGGAATCGACGAAGATGAGGAGGACGACGAGGAGGACCTGCAATCTCCACTCTTCTAAGATCACGTTTATTCTCATCTCTCTGTTAGATAAGCCAGGCCGGTACGGGCAAAAGCGATGTGCAATCTCGCTTCCGCGAAAATATTCTTTCTCTCGCGTTTCGCTACTAGAAACGCGCGTGCGATTGCACCTGACAAACGGGACGAGGCTCAACTTCAACTTCGAGAACCCGTTTACGTTTCATTAATCCTCACCCCTTATTCTCGAATTTTGAATCAAATTTTAAATGCTGGAAATGCGAGCGCATTATGAATAGATTTAAAGAAAAAATTTAAAAAAGAAAAAAAAGTAAAGTCTGCACCGAGCTACGTTATCTGCGAATGGTATCGCGAGTACAGCACGAATTTGCATTTTCGATGTATACTAAACTACGTCATACGCGAACTGGAACCCCCGTCGATCGAGGGATCTTTTTCGATAAATCACGAGTTTCATGTTCTCGTGAGACTTGACTTAACCAGCAGTCACCGGTCGCCCGCTGATGAACGTGCAACCCTACAAATATTTCAAACTGTAATTCTAAATATTATATGTGTAACTCTGCGCGATTCACGTCATTCATGTAGACTAAAAAAAAAAAAAAAAAATACTGTTGGAGAAAACAGCTATTTAATGAAATAAAATCTCTAGTTGTAATGCAAATTGAATGAATGTACGCGAAAGTAAAATACGAGATTATGAAAAGCAATCCTTTCATGGCACGCTTAAGGTCGCTGATAATCCGCCGTGAGATAATTACGAGGTAGTTGGTGACGAGCCGGTGAGATTTTGCTGCGCTGGACAGTGATAAGGACTTCTGGCGACACGCCATAAGTTTGCTAAAACGCCGGATAAATCATCAGCGGTCGACTATATGACTTTTATCTCGGAAAACGGAAGTATTCAGAAAGCGAGGCCGATGTCCCTCCGACATACACGCTGGTGAAACGAGCGAATTAAGTGCGAGAAAGAGAGAGAGAGAGAGAGAGAGAGAGAGAGAGAGAGAGGACGTAACTAG